AATAATTTTATTCATACAATTATCATTCAGCAAATCAGTACCTTCTAATAATTCTATTTTGAAGAAAAAATAAGGATTTTCAGCAATATTTCGAAGCTTCATTATTGTACATATTACAAAATCAGACATTTGATGTGCACATCGACTAGGAAGAAGATTCATTGATGTAGAACCTTGAGTTGATAATTGCAATTCAGAATCATAACCTGTAAGAAACTTGGCCATCAGATAATAAAAATCCTTTCCAATGAACTAGCAATTTAATTTGAATATTTAGAATTGGATTATGGAGCCAATTGTAGAATAATTCCTACTTCTGAATGTATGCTTTTGGTGTTTTCTTTCTGGTTTTAAGACGGAATAAAAACCATTCTGTGAATTTTATGTGAATTTCTCTTCGTTCTAAATATTGTTCAGCATATATTAATTCATATAGCCATCTAGATCAGATTGGCTGTTGATATTTTGTTAATTGATATCCAAATCGTTCTTCATAAAGTCTGCAAATATAATCTGATTGAATTCCCATTGGCTTATCTTTATCTGTCTTATTATAACCGTCATAAAGATCCCAAGCCAAATATAAAAGATTTGCTGGAAATTCTTTTCTTGAGAATCCACTAACATTAGGCAACTTACCAAAAGCAACTTCTTCAAAGTTATTCATTATAATATGTGCAACATGAAGACCACAAGAGATTTGAAATAAATTAGCATCACTTAACTTATTAAATAAAGAGATTGTACCTCCAGATTTATCGCTCATGTAGTTTGTATTATCAGTAACACATACAAAGTACTGTTGTGGATTTATTTTAAAATGATCAAAAATATCATATATTGCTTGAGCAACGGATTTTCCTATACAAGTTGCTAAATCTCTCATCTCCAATACTTGAAAGTCTGGCTTATTACTTCTTGAGTTCCAGAATATAACACATAGTACAAATATTTTATGTTGACCTTATGTTGACTCATCTAGTATTATTCCAAATGTAAAAAATTCTGAAAGAGTATCTTAATTAAAGATTTGATTTACATGAATTTCACTAATTTCCTTATTCCATCGAATAATAAATCGAGATGAAATTTTCAATGAGTCTTCTCCAGTTAAAAAACCTAAGACCAGTTGTATGGCTTAAGCAGTATTTCGAAATGACATTTGACCAATTTATGATACTTGTGTAGCCATATTAACAAATTTTGTTGTATATTAATGCTTGTTTTTCATAATAATTTCTTGAATACAGTCGTCCCCCCATACAGTCACCTCCTATATAATCACTCCTCCCTTTTAAGCACACTATTATTTGGTTCCAACTTTTTAAATATAAAATTACCTCCCTTATAGTCACAATCGTCTTA